CTATCTAAAATTTTTAGTACTATTAGCTGCATGGCGATACAATAAATGATGGTATTTTCAGCTGAACTGTCTTTCATTTTTATTATAATGCCCTGTCTTTGATTTGATGTTTGGCATCTGAAATTGCCACAACATGGGAGATGACCCATCATATTGAGCGTGTTATGAAGCTGTTGAAATTGCAACTCAATTATGTGCTAGTCTCATTTTTCTAATTTAATTGGTTATTTATTGTAAGGTCATGGAAATTGATACTCAGTGATCTAGGCATCTCAGTTCTCTACTTTAGGTTGAAACCAGGCTGTTTCACCTGACAGCTCTTTTGTGGAGCACACTCCCAAAGGGAATGACTCCTTCAGTACTTGAGACACTGTTATCTGTTCGCTTTCGAAGGAACTAGCTTACTGCTAACATGCGATGACCAGCATGCTGGAGTTCAGTCACAGGCAGTAATGTTCTTTTTTCCAGAAGTTACAGAGATTGTTCATTTTGACTCTCTAACTGGCTCTGTGCACTCGCTTCTGGTATTTCCCTCGGGCCCTCCTCCCATTGGTATTTTGTTCTATTTCTTTAGATTACTGACTTCAGTTCATTTTGCTCTGCAGTTGTGAGTACATGAAACAGTTTATTCTTGTATTACTATTAATTAATTATTGTATTGATTCCCATATGGACAACTATAAACCTCCTTTTGCCCCACTCTGTATTAAAAACTTGGCACTTTTAAACCGATTTCTTTAAGTAACATCAGCTTCGGGTGGGATAGGCTATGGTCGCCTTCCCTGAAGACTAGATTCCTGATCTGACCTCTCCAGCCTCCCATCCCACACTCCCACTCAGAGCAGAAGGATCGGCCATTCTACCAGAGACCTGAAGCTCTCAGGACTTCTTTCTCTGGGTGTGGATCTGGTCCATATATTACCGACCCTTCCAGGTCAGGGACCCAAACCAAGGTCCTCCTGCCCAGCGCCGTTGGCCCCAGTAGAATGAGACGGAGTTTGGGAGCAGACACCTTATTTTTTGGCCAAGGAGTGGAAAAGGGTGATCTCATGCTTCCACGGCACCTTCTCCCCGACGGGAAAGGAGCTTTGGAGCCACGGTAGCTAACACGTGGGTCATGAGTATTCCATCTCTTATATTGCTGTATTACTTTGAAAAACTTGGCATATTTATGTCAGTGTACAATACCTTATAATTTTGAATTCTCTATGACTTTGTAATTATAGGGCTTAGGCCAGTAATGGTGAACCTATGACACAGGTTCACCTCTGACACGCGAACTCATTTTTTTGGTTGATTTTTCTTTGTTAAATGGCATTTAAATATGTAAATTAAATATCAAAAATATGTCTTTGTTTTACTATGGTTGCAAATGTCAAAAAATTTCTATATGTGACACGGCACCAGAGTTAAGTTAGGGTTTTTCCAAATGCTGACACGCCGAGCTCAAAAGGTTCGCCATCACTGGCCTAGGCATTTTGGATATATATGAGGACAAGCAAAACTAATAACCATGGTGATTTATAGGCATATAAAATTTCTAAGATATTTTTTACAACACTCATCATAAGATGTATTTGGTGGTTAATTTAACTGGTTAAATGAAGAGTTCCATTAATAAAACTCCTGCTATTTTATTCCCATATAAGTTAAATTTTATTCTGTTGATGCATAATTTACCTCTGATAGGCATTAATTGTTTCATAGCCGGTTAGTGAAAAGTTATCTCATAGCATGTATATGTGCTTGTATTTGTGAGACATAGTGCAGTATCGTCGATTTGTTAGTTAAGTTGCTGTGTGTGTAAGGGTTTCAAGTGAAATTGTCAGTCCCTTGTACTGCTTGGAGTAGATTTAGGCTTCCTAAGCTTTAAAGATGAATAAACTATTAATCCAAGAGCGGGAAGAGACAGGAAAGAAGAAAATAAAGGTAATTGGGTGTTAGGATATGAGGAAAAGAGCACCCAATGTGGATAGCCCAGAGCATACGGGAAGCGTAAGCATTAATACGTAGAGAGTCTTTAATACGAATCATATATCATGCCTTATACTCATTGATTTTACGTTACTGTCCACTGGATGTTAACAGGTGAGGAGAACAAAGCCCATAGCATTTCCAGTTCTTATTCTCATTTTGGACCACACGGGAATCATAGACTTACCTCGTTCACACTGAGGTAAACTGGCAAAGCTGGTCATGACCTCCACTGGCCTCTCTAGCTACTCTGAGGGACACACTTGCAACTCATTTTACCCTGAGCTGGGAATCTCGGCCCTAACCACTGGTCCTCTAACTTCATCAAGCATCAGGATTATCTGTAGGATTTGGCAACACCCTCCCCCCCCCAACCCACAACAAACAAACAAACAAATAAGCAAGCAAGCAAACAAAAACCAAAACATGTTTCTGGGTCTCACCCCAAATTTCTGATTCAATAGGTTTGCACGTCTCATGAGTTCCCAGGTGACACTGATGTGCTGTTCCAGGGATATTCTTTGAGAACCTGCTCTAGAAGAGGTTGCATTACCTGCTTACCTTGTGATAAATAATAAAGCAGCAATAGGTTGTTTCTGCAGATGATCATGATTGGCTAATTGTCTGCCTCCCAAACTTTCATCATTTCTTTTTCATTGTCAATTACCAGGTAGGGAAGGTTGTTGCTCTTGAATATTGAGTGTTACTTATTCTAGATAAATTCATATCACGGAATCATATAGCATGTATTGTCACTGTATCATGAATAGTAATTGCTTAAAATAAGCAGAAAAGTTGAAATCCAAACCTAATTTATTTGAACATTATTTTGTGGCTCTGTATTTAATGTACCTTTCACTTTTAAAAAAGATCTGCAGTACCTAAATTTGTCACAAGATGGCATTGAAAGGCTGAAGATTTTGGTTGAAATTAGTGTTTTGAAACCATTAATGGGTTAGATATATTTATATTTCATGTATACTCAAACCAAAAGAAATCTGAACTGTGAGGTATTTTTTTAAAAATTGAGCGATATTTTGGTATTTTCCTGTAAAACACTTTCTTATTTAGTTACAAAAAATAAAATAGTCAAATACATTGACATTATTGATAAGTAATTCTTTCAAGAATCTAAGAAACATAAATCTTAACGTAATAGCATCAAATATTTTATTATGTATCCCCCAGAAGGACTTCACATAAATTCAAGTTAGTAATTATAGAAAGTCTTACTGTTCTATGATTTATAGGTCTTATTATGCATAAGATGATATCAATCTTGCCTCCACTGAGCTTTAAGTTTTAGTATGGGGAAAAAAGAAATGTATATACAATTCAAGAGAGAACAAAATCATAAAAGTGCTTAAATAAAATGTTGTATTATATGGAATTATACAAACAGTATGAACTGGAATAATGGGCAATTAAACAAAAAATTTAAATGGTATTTTACAAAAATATCCTTGTATCAGTTGAAAACACTATGTTGAATTTTTCTCTTAATGATCTATATTACCATAATTTATTTAAGCCATAAGGAAATTGTTCAGCAATATAGAGAGTTGTATAAGATTTAGTATTTGACATAACGCATCAGAGTCACTCATTTGAAATATGAACTCAGCTTTTATTTTATGAACATGTGGGTGTTTTTTTTCTGATTAATTGAAAAATATTTTTCAGAAGAGGGTGAAGATTTTCTGGTCACACAGATGTCATTTATGATATTCCTGGATTCCTGGAATCTGAAAAACATATCAAAAAATCAAGTGTAGAATGGTGGTTATCAGGGTATTGAGGATGGAAGAAAAGGGATATGCTATAAAACGGTATAGATTTTGAGTGTTGCAAACTGAACAAGTTTTGGAATTCTGTTTTACAACAATGTGAATGTACTTAACACTGTTGAACTGTGCACCTAAAAAGTGTCCGACTAGAAACTATGAGCAATTAATAGGTTTTTATTGAAGATCAACAATGTTCCCAGCTTTATTTAGCATTCAGAGCTACTTAAAAGAAATAAAACCTCCTTAGGAAGCCTATAATATAATTGGTGATAGAAGATTAACTTAATATACTAATATAGTAATCTACTGAAAGTCCAACATATATTAGGCATTGTGTTAGACACTTATTTTTTTATTTTCTTTTATTTCCTTAAATTTATTGGAGTGACATTGGTTAATAAAATTACGTAGGTTTCAAGTGTACCATTCTATGATACATCATCTGTACATTTTATATAAATTATTTTAATCTTCAATCCTCAAAACAACACAGGAGAGTTAGTATTATCATCCTTAGATCCATATTTTATCAGTTAGGAAAGTAACTTTTATCGATATGAATATTTAGTACCTTGTTGAAGTTTGCAAAGTTTCTAATCTTTGATTTGGTATTTAAACCCAAATCTATGGAGCCTCAAAATCCATTTTCTATGTACTGCACTATGCTTCTAATTTAAATAAAAAATAAAGAATACAATAAACAACTATTAATTTGTTTGGTATTTCTACTACCAGTAACCATTATCTATTTTATATAATTACTAGAGGCCCGGTGCACGAAATTTGTGCACGGGGTTGGGGGAGGGGGTCCCTCAGCCTGGCCTGCACCCTCTCCAATCCGGGAGGGATCAGGCCTAAACCGGTAGTCAGATATTCCTCTCGCAATCCAGGACCTCTGGCTCCTAACTGCTTGCCTGCCTGCTGGCCTGATCGCTCTCTAACTGCTCTCCCCTGCTGGCCTGATCGCCCCTAACCGCCTCTGCCTTGGCCCCTGCCACTGTGACTTTGTCTGGAAGATGTCCAGTCTAATTAGCATATTACCCTTTTATTTGTACAGATTCTGGCAAACTTTAAAGAAAGGACATGCAATTTAATTAATGGCAGCTGTTAATCTGGATTACATGTTAACTTCAGAAAGAATTACCATAGCCTTTTTTTGTGGACTTGAGTTGTCTCTCTTTTTGTTTGTTTATAACTTTTGGAAACACTCACTTCTTTTCCCTCTGTATTCATGTGCAGGTTATGTGGGTATGCAATTTGTGCCGAAAACAACAAGAAATCCTCACCAAGTCAGGAGCCTGGTTCTATAATAGTGGACCTAATACCCCACAGCAACCTGATCAAAAGGCTCTCCGAGGACTGCGGAATGAGGAGGCGCCTCAGGAGAAGAAAGCAAAACTGCACGAGCAGGCCCAGTTCCAAGGACCCTCAGGTGACTTATCTGTACCTGCCGTGGAGAAAAGTCGATCTCATGGGCTCACAAGACAGGATTCTATTAAAAATGGGTCAGGAGTGAAGCACCAAATTGCCAGTGACATAGCTTCAGACAGGTAAACATTTTGCTTCATCTTTAGGTAAACATTACTACTTTTAATCTTTATTTCAAACAGAAATACAAATACATGCAATGTTTAGGCAACCAGTTGTCTAAATGTAATGTCAATGTCCATATGTTTTGTATAAAAGTGATGAAAGTGATGTGTAGGACTTTAGCTATGACAGGTTTGAACAATGTTAGGTTTGGCGAGGGAGTGTTAGGTTATCAGGTTTTCCAGAAAGAGAAGTGAAATAAAACAGGGAACTTAGATGGGAGGTTACTGTCAGAGGGAAGAAACTGGGATAAGAGCAATGAGAATGAAGAAGAGGCTGGATCAATGAGACTGGCTGGAAGTGGGGAAGAGAATGGGGAAGGTTAACATTATTTCTAAAGGTTCTACCCTGGGCTGAAGGATGCTGTGGTTTTCCAAGCAGGTAACACAGGTAAAAGGGTTTTATGGATTTGATCTATCCATGGCCTAACTCTGTTATTACTATTTTGGCTCAGTTTTAATGCCTTTTCCTTGACAAAAGTGTTACACTTTTAACAATAGTGTTTATGGTTCTTATATTTCCTACCTTTGGAAGGAGAAGAATGAAAAGATTTCCAAGGGAGGATTATTTTTCTATCCATATTTCTATTTTTGAATTAAAATTTTAAAGGAAAATCTGGTTTATACCGTATGTATAATTCAGAAGTGGCAGGGACGTTTCTGGGTGAACAAATATGAAGTCATGCACTTGTGGAAAAACAAATCTGAATTGTACTGACAGGGTGGTGGGTCTGAACAGTGTTAAAACAGGTAAGATAAGTGGGAGTCCCTTCAGATGGTGCCTAAAGCCGTCACACAGATGTGTTGTTAATGTCTTGGAAGAATAATAAAATGATGATGCACCAGTTTTGTTTTGTTTTTGGCAAAAGTGAAACAGACAATGTAATTCTATCTTTGGAAAAGGCCGTGGTGATTTCATGGCTGGAATACTATGAACACATCTCAGTGCAGAATCTCAGGAAGCCAAGAATTTTAGGGTAGGAAGATCATCTTAGATTGAGAATTTAAGCACACAAAGGTTTGAGGGCAGATAGTTTATTTGGGTGGCAATCTCAGAAACCACCAGTAGGGGAGTGGAAAATGATCCAATTAAGAGAGAACGCAACAATTGGTGCATTTGAGAGCAGATTATCTCTTTTGGCGATTGTGTCTCAGTCTTACTGGGACTTCTAGGAGACGGAGTATCACAACCTCAGAGTTATTCCACATGATGGGCTAGGAGGCTGGGGTATTTATCCATAATTCTCTGTTTTATTCGCCTAGGTCTGTTCCCGGGGAGGGAGGCGGGCTTGTTAACGCTCTGGCCAAGCATGTTTCTGTTGCCAGAGAAAGCACTCAGGCAGACTATTACAAATATAATCACAAGAAGCTTCTATGTAGGGAATGGTGAATGATGAAGCAGTGTTGGTTGGGACAGTAGCAGTATCTGTAAAGTGGCAGCCGTAATGGCCAAGGTATATGAGCTTAGATGAAGAAAATGATGTTAACCAATGGAGGTAGGATTTTAAACGAATGACTTAATAAAATAGATAACATTGGCTCATTCTTCAAAATAGATAGCTACATTAGATCGTCTCTTTGGAGGTTAGAAAGGTAGGTTTAGGAAGAATAAAAGGAAATACTAAAATACTGGGTCACATAATAGTTTTTAAAGCTTTAGAATGCATATCATTAGGAAGTTGTGGATGTTAAAAATAAGTCCAACAAATTTATGAGTAATTAATTCATCATTGTAGGGAACTAGAAATATAGCACTAATCTTTGAAGAATGACTAAGAACAAATATATATTCTCCAATATTATCTGTTAATGCTTCTTTCTTTGACAGAGCACTAGCCTGAATAAACAGTACAATTCGACCCACTGTGGGGAAGCAAGATGTAGTTACTTTTTTTCTTTTTGCCTACTGCCTCCGGCTGCCATTACTAATAGAAGCATACTTTAATGACTCAATGTATTCTATAATTATGTCCTTCCTTTCTTTTTCTAAATATATTTTTATTGATTTCGGAGAGGAAGGGAGTGGGAGAGAGGGTTAGAAACATCAACGATGAGAGAGAATCATTGATCGGCTGCCTCTTGCACGCCCCACACTGGGGACCCAGCCTGCAACCTGGGCATGTACCCTGACGGGGAATTCAGCTGTGACCTCCTGGTTCATAGGTCAATGCTCAGTCACTGAGCCACACCCGCTGGGCCGTGTCCTTTCTTTCTGAAGCTCACATAAGTCAAACCAATAGCTCCTCTTGTTTGTAAGAAATACTACTAGTCAGGGAAGAAGTTAGAGTTTAATATCAAACTTGGAAGTTATGCCTAGAAAATGGAATTGGTTATAATTTATATAAACTTTAGGAAGATTCATTTTTTTTTCCAGAATAATTCAGTCACCTTACTGTAAACAAAAAGAGCATTTGTTTTATTATTTTTAAATGCAGATTCTATAGTAGTTTATTAGGCATGTATCTATAAACCCTTTGAATTCTTTCCCCTGGAGCAGGAGGTCTACAAACTATGTTCCTGGGGCTCTATCTGGCTTGCCCCCTGTGTTTTTGTAAATAAAGTTTTACTGAGACACAGCCACAACTATTTATTTATTTATTGTCTATGGCTACATAGACTCAGCTACAACTCCAGAGTTGAGTATTAGTTATAAGAGGCCATATGGCTCTCATATAACCTAAAATATTTACTCTCTGACCCTTTACAGAAAAGTTTGCCAACTCCTGCCTTAGAGAGTAAGTAGTTATTTATTTTATTTACTAGAGGCCTGGTGCACAAATTCGTGCACCAGTGGGGTCCCTCAGCCTGGCCTGTGGGAAACCGGCTCTCCGACACCCCCCAAAGGGTCCTAGATTGCAAGAGGGCACAGGCCAGGCTGAGGGACCTCACTGCTGCATGATCGGTGCCAGGGAGGGATGTGGGAGGTTGGCCAGCCAGGGAGGGATCGGCGCAGGAGGGCTCCAGGGCATGTCCGGCCTGTCTTGCTCAGTCCTGATCAGCCGGACCCCAGCAGCAAGCTAACCTACCGGTTGGAGCGTCTGCCCTCTGGTGGTCAGTGCACGTTATAGTGAGCAGTGGAGCTGCCTGAGCATATCATTAGCATATTATACTTTGATTGGTTGAACAGACAACTGGACGACTGGATACTTAACCTATTAGGCTTTTATTATATAGGATTATTATTTTAAAATAAGTTTTTATTGATTTTAAAAAGAGAGGAAGGGAGAGAGAGATAGAAACATCAATGATGTGAGAGAATCATTCCTCAGCTGCCTCCTACATGCCCCACACTGGCAGTCAACCCCGCAACCCGGGCAATGTGCCCTGGCCTGGAATCTAACTGGCGACTTCCTGGTGCATGGGACTATGTTCAATCAACTGAGCCACACAGGCTGGGCAGTAGTTATTTTAATGCTGTTGAAATTTCTCCTTTCTTTACTCAGTTTTTTTGTTACCATTTAAATCGTTTCAGTTAAGCCTGTTTACTTATTCCCCATCCTCTTCCCAATTCCTTCTCCTCCTCTTCCTCTCTGCCTCCTCCCCTCCTCTCTCCCCATCCCTCCCTTTCTCCCTCTTTTTTTGTCTTCATTTCTCTCTCTCTCTTCCTTCATACCAGAATGGGTGTTCTAGGAGTATTTAAGTTGAACAGTGAAATGGAGCTACTGATAAGGAATATAACTCCAGTTTAAAGTATTATTAGTCATTTGTTTCTTCAGTACCATTCAAAAACCATTCTAGTGCCCTCAAAAGAGAAGCTTGGTTCAATTAAATTTAAATCTTTATGGACCTAGAACTATGATTGAGAAATAGAAAAGTATGTTATGTTTCCTAATTTTAAGGAGCTTTAGTGTAATTTGTAACTACCTGCTACAGTAGTTTTGACCTATTTCTGACTTTTTAGTTCTACAGGTGCTTTCCTCATAGCCTGTTAGAATTAATTGAGTTAATAAATACCAATTTGACCCAAGACCTTAGCTTTGAGTTAATGAATATTTACTTAGTTCCTTTATTCATAAAAATGGCAAATGTTTATTATCAACTTAAATGCAAAATATTATTAGAGATTTTCAAGTGTTTCTTTTATTTCAAAATACTTTTGAAATAATCATTTTTTCTGTGCAGTTTGCTTACCCTTACAATGTCTAACATGAGTGCCTAGTGGTTTCTTAGCCTTTAAATTACATGCATAACAGAGTGAAATTTTGTGGTTCTTCGAGGCAACATAATTCCACATTTATTTAGTGAAGGACAGAGGTGGAACCAGCTACCTGGTGGCAGGTTGAATACATTCATATAGCTGCAAGCATCTGGCTCCTTCATTATGATATATAGTAAATACCTAAGCATTTAAACATTACTTATTTAAATATGTTTTAATTATTATAAACTACTTATTTACTTCCCATTTATTATAGTTACACATGCTTAGCTCTTGTTCCACTATATTTATCAAGTGAGCAATCTTTTCTTCCTACTGATTTGAGATGCCATTTTAGTCATGTATATTGGTTATTATATGTTAGGGTATATTTATAGATGTTCTGTATTGTTCTTTTGACCAATCTGTTCAACGCTTATATCTAGTTTCAAAAATCCCATTTCCGTTACTTAAGCAAACGCAACTATTAGTTGTTGAAAGCAAGAAACTTGGCAACATGTACTTTTACTAATACATTTCTTAGTTATTTAACTGCAATCTACACTGTGGTATGTATTGGATTATGAGTGGGAGGATTTGTTTTTAACAATAATACTTCTTCTAGTTTATTAGCTTGAATATATTAGTGGCCAGAGTGAAAAGGAGAAGAGAAATAGTAATTATGATAGAAAGGGAGGATGAAAGATCCTTTCCCCATAATACATTGTTGGAAATTTCACTCTAAGTCAAATGACAAGGGATCCTTTCAACTTTTGAAACGAGTATATATAAACCTGTATTCATTATTTTTGCCACCAGATGG